TTCCCCCCCCCCCCCCCCCCCCCCCGCAGCCATGTCCCTGGGCATGGGTCCCACCAAACCACCTCCACTCACAGGCTGATGTCCCAGTCTGGCCTGTTGCCATCCCCAGGGAGGTGCCCCACACCCAGGGCTGGGGTTGTCCCCGCTTGCCCCCTGCCGTCTGCTTTGATCTAGATATAGTGGTTTACATTAAATTAGGGTCAAGTTGAAAAGATTTGTTGGCAGTGCTCCATAATAAATGGAATGAGTACTTATTTCTGTGCCATTGGCAAAGCTACTCTAGGTTGCTGTGAGTCTCCATTTGAACTGTCATGACAGTATCATTAATGAAATTTTTCATACGTGATACATTTGTGCAAAAGGTAATGATTAGATAGGAAAGAAAATTTGCAAGAGAGTTAAGATTTCATTTAAAGAAGGAAAATATAATGCAGGAAGATTTTCTTGAAGGCATTACTAATATTGTAAATAAACAATCAAACTCATCAGAAGAGTAAAACCACAGCAGTCAGAGTATTGTGAACACTCAGAACCTAAGTCCTGCCTGCTGGCAGAGTGGGAAGGTTAAGTCACCAGGCAGACATAAACTCTAGGTCTCATGTTGCCTTACAGATTTCAAATATGACTCCCCATATGGCTTTCAAGCATTCTGGTAATTCTTTTCATTCAGATTGCTGAATTTTCAGAACAGATGTGGAACTATGGCCATACAAAAATTAGTGAATATTTGGAGACTCAATGAAACAAGTGTGATTCTCTTAATGAACGGCTCACTATAACTATAATTACTTTTTCTACTCAGTATTGCCATTGCAAGTCTTCAAAACAGAACATTAACTATGTTTCCTTAAGTTTCTCAATGGGTTTTATGGCCTCTTATGCTTTATGGCTGCTTAGGGGATTTGATCACCTGGATTTGATATGATTAATGTTATGAACTTGCTGCATGTCTTCCAGCTTTTGAATTGCTTTCCATAACTAGTGTTTGGTATCATTAGAGTAATTCGAGACATAAATTATTTATGTACAGGGAAAATTCCCTTTAAGCTGTAACCTCAAATTTTAGCAGGGGGATAAGCATCACTTCCCATGAGAAAATGCTCAGGAAAGGCTGAAGAGCTGAGCTGAGCAAGCAGAGAGCATCGCTGTGTCCCACACAATGGCTTGCCTTAATGTATCAAATTCATACTAATTGATGCCTCAGGGCTCCCTTAGGGTTAATAAAATCTTCTCTAATATGGTGTTGTGACATCATCTGCTGGTTCATACATCCTTTGTGATCAGCTAGGATTTTTAAATAAGACTAAATCTCTCTCATCCAGAAATGTTAGACCTTAGTAAACATGGGTATGTTCGGGAGAGTAGGGCTGGTTGTGTTACTCTACGACAAATGGTCCTTTTCTCTTGGAAAGGAGAAAAATGCAAACTTGGAAGTAGGCAGAATTTGAAGCACTAATTGCCCTCATTTTTCTGTGTTTTGTCTATTCAAGAAGTATTCTAACCAAGAAAATCAAACACATCTAATCTTCAAAGAAAAAAGTAGCCAGGTGAATGTCCTCACGTGTGTGGCCATGGACCCAAGCCGGCTTCTCCCACCAGAGTGTTGGGACAGAATTACTCTGTAAAGACTTCAGTAAGCACAGGGACAGAAGTTGTTTGTTTCCCTTAAAGACTGGCATATGCATCTGCAGCATCCCTTGCTGACACCAAGATATTAGGATGAGGTACCCTATGGCAGGGAAAACACCTCCCATACTGAATGGTTTTTCAACATCATGGACCAAAACCAAACATTTTATAGAATGTTGTGAAAGATAATTCACCAAAAAGAGTGAAAGAATGGTCTGCGTCTCTTGTCCACCTTTGTCAGTTTTGCTCACAAAAAGGTCTGCCATAAGACACCAACATCAATAGGATGTATTCTAACACTCAGCATAAGCAAAACAGGCAGAATATTGCCTTCTAGGGTATAGTCATGGATTATGGAAACTGTCTTTGCCTTCCTTAGGTACAGAACCTGTCTGTCAGTAACTGCAGTGCCTCTGTTTCATTTTGCTAGAATGTCAGGGAGAAAAATGCTACTCAGCACTAAGAGAAACACATAGCATTTTCTCTCAAGGTTTCTAAAAGTAGTTTTCTCTCTCACCAAACAATTCAAAGATCTCCTGTCCCAGTACATTTAACATTAATAGTGCTGCAGTAGAGATGTAAATGTAACAAGGCTTATGGGGAGTGGCAATAGTTTTTATCACTTTTATCAGACAGCTGTAAGAGCAAAGGAAAAAAGCTGAGGAAACTGTCAG